AGAAATTCCATGTGTCTACACTAGTTCATGAGATAAATCTATCTGAGCAGATATGATACTTTGTTTGGATATGAGTGTGAAAATGTCTTCATATATGTGTGTGAATACATTTACACACACACACACACACACACACACACACACACACACATATATATATATATATATATATATATATATATATATATATATATATAAAATGCAGGTAGTTTACTTCATTTATGTATGTTTATCTAAGTGTAGGTATTGGCACAAGAATGTAGTGCCAGAAAGTTCCAGAAGTGGGTATAGGATTCCCCTTTAGCTACAGTTAAAGATGGCTATAGGAACCAAACTCAGGTTCTTTGCAAGACCAGTACATTCCCTTTACCAGCAAGTCACCTCTCCAGCATTATTTCTCAATACCATAATCCAATCCAATAACTTATATTTGGATCCTTCCTATCTATGGCTTTTCACGCCCTATTTGAGTTTTTCAAAGTAATCTTATTTTATAGTTTGAGAATTTACAGCTGTTTGATTTAGAATCTATCTATACTGAGATTGCTCTCTTTTGTGTTGTGTTTCAATGTGTGTAATCATTTCTCTTATTTGGGGGGGTTCGGTGACAATTATTCTAAGTTATTTTAAAATTGCTTCTTTGCTTTGATCTTCTGCAGGGAGTTAATTTGGGAATCCTTTTGTATACATTAATTGCTCTTGTTTTTCACAAATTCGTCATTTGTGTTCCGGTCCTCTGTGAGGGTCTTAATAACAAGCCTTTCCTTTTGGTTTGTCATGCTACTGTGTTCCCCACACTGCCTCTAAGGGCTGATAAACAATGCCTTATGCCTATTACTCCAAAGCCGACCTCAATACAATCAAAGAAAGACTATTCACTTAGAGGATCCTTTCCCTTGGCTCAGTTCTCTGCTATTGCATGGCTCTACCCCATACTACTAGTTTTTGTTTGTTTGTTTGTTTGCTTGCTTGCTTTTGTTTTTTTATCTGAACTTACATTCAGTCAGTTCAAAGTGAAGGGACAGTGAGCAAGGACTGTGTGTAACCAACCCATCTTCTTCCAGGACACCCAACACATATGAAACTTTCCTGATGCCTGTGGACACAGAGCTCCTGTGAGCCTCATTGTGACACTGTCCCAAAGCATTTTCAAATAATTTGGGGGACACAAGTTAACCTTGACGTGTAGTAACAGAGCTACTGACAGCTCATTTAATTTATTCTATCTAAAACTTGGTTCAAAGACATGAAGACGATGAAAGAGTTCTCTTACAAATTAATATTTTCTTTATTCTCAAGAATTCCATACATATTTCATATGTATACATATATATATGAAATGTATATATGAAAAATATATATAACAAAATAAGATCCTATCTGCCCACAATTTCCCTCTATTTTTCCCTCCATAAAATGTCCTCTTCCTAACAGCATGTATTTCCCTTATTTTGATAAAGTCTTAAGTCCAGTTAGTGCTGTCCATATTTGCATGGGTGTGAGGCCATCTACTGGAAAATGGACAATCTACCATGGGACATATCCTCAAAAAGAGAATTATTCTCCCTCCCCCAGCAACTCTCCACTGCCAACAGTTTCTAAGTAAGGGGTAGTGCCTAGGGATCATTTGCTCCATCTTTACCAGGCTCTTGGCTGGCTTAATCTTGTGCAGATCTTCTTCAGATAACCACAATTGCTGTGGGTTCTTGATTGTGATAGTCACATCATGTCCTGAATTCAGCATTTAACAGGGTTTCAGCCAATCATCCATCTCTTACATTCTTTCTGCTCCCTCTTCCATCTTTTGGAGTTTGAATTAAGACTCCTAATGAATGAAGTTTTGAAATCTAATTTTGCACTAGGCCCTGAAAACCTAAGAGCCTACCCTGAATGAAAGGTTAGGAAATAAGTAAGCCAACAGCACTTCAAGCTATGTTGTTCATCTTCTGAGCTGTGAGTCTGTACTTCTTCCCTGCACAGGGGGCACTTTTAGACCATAGTGTTCTGTAGGATTCTCTATTTTAATATAGATCTTTAAAAAATCAAAGATTGTCATCTGTGTCTATATAATATCACATACTTGAGAAAAGAGTGTCTCACTGCAGACTAAAGAAAATAATATGGAAAAGCAACACCAGCTTAGTGGAGAGAAGTACTTGCCATCGAGCTTTGAGAACTGAGTTTGTAGAAGGGAACTAACTCACACAAGTTATCATCAGTCCTCCACACAGTACAACTGTGTACACACACATGCATACACACATAGACTCACACACAATAAATACATATAATAAGAAATCAAAAATCCAAAGACTGTGTCATTAGCTTTTGCACACCTTTCCACTTCTGGAGATTAAGATATTTTCTTGTTTCATGTTTTTCCAATCAATGCTGTGTGTTTGGACTCACTACTAGACAAAGAAGAATCCTCACTACAAGAAACAAGAGTGCAGTTTTAGATTTAACATGGGACCAAGCACTCTATGTCACATGTATAACATGTCTACAAAAATGATTAGATAGATACAAAGGACTCTGTTCCCTCTATTTATGTCTTGTCAGGAAGAAATCATACCACAAATGCACAAGGTGACACTTCCATGGCACCCAAAACTGGGAACAAAGCAAACAAAGTGGACATAAGGCATGTAGATAGAATACTTCCTCAAAGACTATTCTACCTCTCTCAAAGAAAAATACTGTTACTAATCCATTTCAGCTAGGTACGTCAAAAGAAATATAATAGTCAATGGATGTAGGGATAGTTCAACAGTTAAGATTGCCTGTTGCTCGTCCAGAAGACCCAAGTTGAGTTCCTAGTACCCACACTAGACAGCTCCAAAATGCAGATGCATGCACATGTGCATACATATAAATAAAATAAAAATATTTTTTTAAAGAAATTATCCTGAAAACTTCTGCATTGCTTATACGATTTATCTTGAACCAGCCCCAGGGCCATGACTAAAATAAATCACTTCTCTGTCTTATCATTTTTCAGGTGGAGATTTGATGGAAGGAAGCCAACAATTCTTTCTTAGCTTCTAAGAAACAGATATTAAGTCCTTTAGGCTTCTCTACTTGCAGCCCAATATGAACTCAGGTGGCATTTGAGTTCTGACATTTGCACTTCTAGAGTGCCATCTCTTGTCCAATGTCATGTGCTTGGTGCCAAGGTGGACAGATTGGAGTGGAAGAGCCTTTAAGCTTCTGCAAGAAAAGTGTAACTGCCACTTAGCACTCTTCCAAGTGAAGACAAAGAAGTATTCAGGGTCTCCAACGCTGCTCTGTCAGTTAAGGAGTTCTGGCTCTGTGTCATGCAGTCAGTTCTGGCTTCAGAGCTGACTCCACATTGACCCAAAGCAGTATTGTCTTTCTCTCCTTTCCTGGTCAGCTTTAAGGCAATAGAAGCAAAGGATATATAACTTTACCATCTGTTGATTCATATGCATATGGCCTGTATGGATAAGCATGATAGATGTGTGCCTTTTTCATGGTGTCAGGAATACCTTGCCAGTCAGACTTCTTAAATAATGATTTAATAATAGATTAGAAATACTTAACTTGAAACATATTGGGTCAACATAAGTATTAGTAACAATTTATTTCTATGTGTGTGACACATACTCACTTGAAGTCTGAGCCATCATACTGGCCCCAAAATATTAGTTCTAAATGATAGATACACATTCCCTGAAGTGATACACAGAATATATGCCAGCAAATTAAATTGCAGTTTTGAATGTCATGGTCTTTGCATTTGCACTGTAATAAGTGTAAATCAGCAATCTGTTCCATGTATCTCCAAAAGAAAACAGAGCCCATCATGTACGTGCTGTCAGATTCTCTTTTTATTTTCTCCATTATAGAAAGCAGTCCTTTGTATAAAAATTGGCAAACCACATGGCAAAGTAATAGATAGCTATGACCCTAACCCTCAAAAGACAGAGGCAGGAGGGTGGGGATTCAGTTTCAGACTAGCCTGAAAAACACAGTAAATTCTGGGCCAACCCAGGGGACTACTAGTCTCAAAGAAGAAGAGAGATTCCCTTTGTTTCTCATAAATATAATAATATTAATATAATTATTCCTCATTATTTTGTTAGTACAGCACCTTTGTTTTTCTTTATATAATAACTTGTTGCCAGGGCCTAATGTTCTCACAGAACAGTGGGGGGGGGAAACATCTGTCATCTATTAAAGAATTGAGTACAAAAAAACTTACTTAAATTAAAAGGATGGATAAATTCACTATGTAAATGCAAACATTCCCAACACAAGGCAAGTTATAACCCATGATGATCAGGAGAAAATAAAAAATGAAGAGAAAAAACATGGAAACTGGGTCCTCAGGCTGGAAATTTCCCATCCTGTTAAAATAGCAAGATAGAAGTGCTAACTGGTTCCAGAACTCTTGTCAGCTTGAGAAATCCATCACAGTCAGCTGGTGGTAAGTATCCAACACAGGTAACTGCTAAGTGCTCACACATATATACCAAGCTGGGGATTTCTCTTCCATGGGGTGCTTTCCCAGCCACCAAGTAACCAAGCTACATGGACTGAGGATTAAATCAAGATATGCACAGGGTATTAAACATAAGCATGGAAACAATTAACTTGAGTATAAGGTCAAAAATCAGCAGCAAATTCTCTGATCAAGTGTTAGTATCAAATACAAGCCCCAAGGACAAATTGCCTTTGGAAGTCTTATTCCATTTTCATGAGGCTATCATGAGGTGTGTACATTTGCCAGAGCAAATTGATCCTTCAGAATCAGCTAATGCAACAGATGTCTGGCATATGCTCAGTCCATCTAGAAGCACTTGCAGTGGACTATGGAGGGGCTGAATCCCATTACCCCTGCTTGCTGATCCATATCTGCTCCAAGGTAGACAGTGAAAGCAGGATGGAGCTGCCAATCCAGACTTAGTACTTGACCTTGATCTTTGCAATGGAGTTGAAGGTGGTTTCATGGATACTCTGGGCTCTCTGCCCAGGAATCAGGGCTGGGAGAACACCTGTGGACACTGAAATTGATCATGGCCAATGGTGATTACCTGCCTATCAGCCAGCTCATGGCTCTTCTCCAAGGAGGAGGATATAGCAGTGGCCATTTCTTGCTCAACATCCAGGGCAATATAATACAGTTTCTCTTTAATATCTGCCACCAATCTCTGGCTCAGCTGTGGTGTGAGGCTATAGCCCCACTCAGTCAGGATCTTGATGAAGCAGATTGTCAGGTACCTGCCAGCCAGGTCCAGACACAAGGCGGTGTGTGCAAGGACACTGTATATGTGAACGATGTTACCAGAGTACACAACAACACCAATAGTGTGCCCAGGAGCATACAGAGACAGCATCACCCAAATGGCCTTGTACATGACTGGGGTGTTGAAAGTGTCAAATATTATCTGCCTCATCCTCTGTTAGCATTGGGGTTCAAGAGGCCTTTGGTCAGAAGAGGTCCCATCCCCAGGGACCATGAGCAGTTCATAGAAGGTTTAGTACCAGATATTCTCTATGTCATCCCAGTTGTTGACTATGCCGTGCTTGATAGGTACTTCAGGATAAAGATATCCCTATTTTATTTTATTTTATTTTATTTTATTTTATTTTATTTTACAATGTTATTCAGTTCTACATAACAGCCACAGATTCCCTTGTTCTCCCCCTTCCTGCCCCCCTCCCCTTCCCCCAGCACACCCCCCATTCCCACCTCCTCCAGGGCAAAGCCTCCCCCGAGGACTGAGATCGACCTGATAGACTCAGTCCAGGTAGGTCCAGTCCCCTCCTCCCAGGCTGAGTCAAGCATCCCTGCATAAGTCCCAGGTTTCAAACAGCCAACTCATGCAATGAGCCCAGGACCTGGTACCACTGCCTAGGTACCTCCCAAACAGATCAAGCCAATCAACTGTATCACCTATTCAGAGAGCCTGCTCCAGTTGGGGGCCCCTCAGTCATTGGTTCATAGTTCATGTGTTTCCATTTGTTTGGCTATTTGTCCCTGTGCTTTATCCAACCTTGGTTTTAACAATTCTTGCTCATATAAACCCTCCTCTTTCTTGCTAAATAGACTCCCGGAGCTCCACCCGAGGCCTAGCCGTGGATCTCTGCATCTAGATTCCTCAGTCCTTGGATGGGGTTTCTGGCACAACTATTAGGGTGTTTGGCCATCCCATCACCAGAGTAGGTCAGTCCCGGCTGTCTCTTGGCCATTGCCAGCAGTCTTTTGTGGGGGTATCTTTGTGGATTTCAGTGGGCCTCTTTAGCACTTTGTTTCTTCCTTTTCTCATGTGGTCTTCATTTACTATGTTCTCCGATTCCTTGTTCTCCCTCTCTGTTCTTGATCCAGATGGGATCTCCTGCTCTCTTTCCCTCGACCCTCGCCCTTCATTGCTCCCACTCATGTCCAGGTTGTTTATGTAGATCTCAGCCATTTCTCTGTCATTGGGTGATCCTCGTGTCTTTTTTGGGGTCCTTTTTTCCAGGTAGCCTCCCTGGTGATGTGAGTAGCAGTCCAGTCATCCTTGTTCCACATCTAGTATCCTCCTATGAGTGAGTACATACCATATTTGTCTTTCTGAGTCTGGGTTACTTCACTCAGGATGATTTTTTCTAGATCCATCCATTTGCCTGCAAACCTCGTGATATCATTGTTTTTCTCTGCTGAGCAGTATTCCATTGTGTATATGTGCCACAATTTATTTATCCATTCTTCAGTTGAAGGGCATCTAGGTTGTTTCCAGGTTTTGGCTATTACAATCAATGCTGATAT